GATCCTGACCAGGACCGGGCCCAGGACGGAGCCCTGCGGTACTCCACTTGTCACTTCTTTCCAAGATGAAGAGGAAGCTTGGGGAGAATCACCCTCTGGGTTCGTCCATTTAACCAATTACAGATCCACCTCACCGTAGTTTTGCCTAGCCCACATTGGACTAGTTTCCTTGCCAGAAGGTCATGGGGGACCTTGTCGAAGGCCTTACTGAAATCCAGGTACGCTACATACACGGCATTCCCCGCATCTACCCAGCTTGTAACTCTATCGAAAAAAGAGATCAGATTAGTCTGGCATGACTTGTTTTTGATAAATCCATGTTGACTATTAGCAATGACCGCATTTGTTTCTAAGTGTTTGCAGACCACTTCCTTAACAATCTTTTCCAGAATCTTGCCTGGTATCGACATGAGGCTGACCGGACGGTAGTTGTTTGGGTCATCCTTTTTTCCCTTCTTGAAGATTGGTAGGTTTTTCGGGCTATAGAAGCATCTCCGCCTATGAACCCACTGAGATCTTCTGGGGAGGCCCTGCTCTCGATCCCGCCAGCTTCACAAGCACGGCTGGCGGGGACGAGAGACAGGGCCTTCTCAGTGGTGGCCCCTCGGCTGTGGAACGCCCTTCCCACAGACATTAGATCGGCTCCCTCATTAATGGCATTTCAGAAGAAAGTGAAAACCTGGTTATTTGAACAGGCGTTTGAACAGGCGGTGCAATGAATTATAATGAATTATAGGAAATCGGAACAACGGATGACGACCTTGGATTATGATTTTAGTTATGAGACGCTAATGAGTTGTTTATTGATGTTTATTGATGTTAATTGCTTAGTGTATTATTGTGTTAATTGTTTTTAAATGGTTTGTATGATGCTAGCATTGAATTGTTGCTGCTGTTTGTTGTTAACCGCTCTGAGTCGCCTAAGGGCTGAGAAGAGCGGTATACAAATAAAGTAAATAAATAAATAAATAAATAAATATATGGCCATGGTCTAGAGGCATTCTCTCCTGACGTTTCGCCTGCATCTATGGCAAGCATCCTCAGAGGTAGTGAGGTCTGTTGGAACTAGGAAAAAGGGTTTATATATCTGCGGAATGACCAGGGTGAGACAAAGGACTCTTGTCTGCTGGAGCTAGGTGTGAATGTTTCAACTGACCACCTTGATTAGCATATAATGGCCTGACAGTGCCTGGAGCAATCTTTTGTTGAGAGGTGATTAGATATCCTTGTTTGTTTCCTTTCTGTTGTGCTGTTGTAATTTTAGAGGTTTTTTTAATACTGGGTGCCAGATTTTGTTCATTTGCTTCCAGTTGAGCCAAAAGGAATGTACAGAATTATTTTAGACTGACAAGTGGTACAGAGACAACGTAGCATGAATATTTATTTATTATATATGTATAAAAAGTTTTTTTCCTGGAAATTACTAGAGCTGAAAAGGGCACAAGAAATTTGTGAAGCAGCATAAGGAAAATGTACAGCCAGCAAAGTAGAAAAAAATAAGCAAACAAAAGGGAAAAAAAGCTTTGGCAGGTTTTAGAAATATCAATAAGGGACAATCCAAATCCATGTTGTATGAACCTGACAATTTCATTATTATAATATATTATTATTATTATTATTATTATTATTATTATTATTATTTGTGGATAATTATTTATTATCCATGCTTCCTTCCTCTTTTTTTCTGTTGATACTTTTTATTAATCCTGATTTGTCTTAATTGTGTCATAATTATTTGCATTGGTTTATCTTTCTGCAAAATGCTACCTCTCCAAAGACATCCCATTCAATCTCTAAGAAAAGGACATAAATAAGGGATATATTGCAGGCCCTCAGTATCCACCCCTGAATACCAAAATCCTTGGATGCTCAAGTACCATTATATATAGTCTAGTAAAGCAAGATACAGCTTTACTACACTACACTGCACTGCTTGTCTTGCTGTGAGTTTTTTGAGCTGTATGGCCATGTTTCAGTAGCATTCTCTCCTGACATTTTGCCTGCATCTGTGGCTAATGGCATCTTCAGAGGTCTGTTGGAGGTGAGGCAAGTGGGGGGATATATATATATATATATATATACACACACACACACACACACACACACACATACATACACTAGACGTTCCCTGCCACGCATTGCTGTGGCCCAGGAGAGACTACAGCTGGAACATGGTCATACAGCCCGAAAAACTCACAGCAATCCACTGATTCCGGCCGTGAAAGCCTTTGACAACACAATGTAGTGCTTTTTTGGATTTCTATATTTTTTAAATATTTCCAAGCCATGGTTGGTTTGATTCATGGGTGCAGAACCCGCGGATATGGAGGGCCTACTGTAATAATGAAAACCAACCAACCCTAATTCTGATCAATTTTTCCTACCTTTATCTGATGGTCAGGGTAGGACATGTGGCTACTTATCTCCAAGGCCTGATAAACAGCTATAGGAGGGCTCGGCCAATGGGGAAACATAGGGCCGCGGATATGGAGGGCCTACTGTAATAACGAAAACCAAGCAACCCTAATTCTGATCAATTTTTCCTGCCTTTAACTGATGGTTAGGGTAGGACCTGTGGCTATTTATTTCCAACAGCTATAGGAGGACTCGGCCAACGGGGAAACATAGGGCCGCGGATATGGAGTGCCTACTGTAATAACGAAAACCAAGCAACCCTAATTCTGATCCATTTTTCCTGCCTTTAACTGATGGTCAGGGTAGGTCCTGTGGCTACTTATTTCCAAAGCCTGATAAACAGCTATAGGAGGGCTGAGCCAACGGGGAAACTTATGGCCACAGATATGGAGGGCCTACAGTAATAACGAAAACCAAGCAACCCCAATTATGATCAGTTTTTCCTGCCTTTAACTGATGGTTAGGGTAGGACCTGTGGCTACTTATTTCCAAGGGCCAGATGAACAGCTATAGGAGGGCTCGGCCAATGGGGAAACATAGGGCCGCGGATATGGAGGGCCTACTGTAATAACAAAAACCAACCAACCCTAATTCTGATCAATTTTTCCTACTTTTAATTGATGGTCAGGTTCGGACCTGTGGCTACTTATTTCCAAAGCCTGCTAAACAGCTATAGGAGGACTCGGCCAACAAGGAAACATAGGGCCGTGGATATGGAGTGCCTACTGTAATAATGAAAACCAAGCAACCCTAATTCTGATCAATTTTTCCTGCCTTTAACTGATGGTTAGGGTAGGACCTGTGGCTACATATTTCCAACAGCTATAGGAGGGCTCGGCCAATGGGGAAACATAGGGCCGCGGATATGGAGTGCCTACTGTAATAAGGAAAACCAAGCAACCCTAATTCTGATCAATTTGTCCTACCTTTAACAGAGGTTAGAGCTGCAAAATTCACCATACTAGCAAAAGATAATGGAAGCCACACTGCTGATAAAGGCATGGGAGATAGACCAGGCATGGTCAAACTTGGGCCCTCCAGGTGTTTTGGACTACAACTCCCACAATTCCTAACAGCCTACCGGCTGTTAGGAATTATGGGAGTTGTAATCCAAAACACCTGGAGGGCCCAAGTTTGCCCATTCCTGGGATAGACCTTTTCAAACTTAAAGCTAACTTTGTGTCAGCTTCGGTTTCTAAATTATACATCATTCACAGATATAAATATAGCAAACACTGCGCCGTCATTTAGAAAAGAGCAATAAGGCCAAAGAAAAATAGGAAATGCGACATCAATGGTGATCACAAATGAATCTGTTAACTTTAGTAACCAGTCTGTGAAACTATTTTCAAACTAGGAGTTTCTCCTAAGCATATTTACATTTGACAAGAAACATTAGTGAATGTATCCATCAAAGAGAACAATATAGTCACAATGAAAATATATATATATTGTTTTCCTATTCAAATTGACCTGGGAATTCTTTTCAGCAAACATGTCTTAAATATACATTATTTATTGTTTTACAAAAAAAAGATCTGGTAGAAACACTGTTTATTTCACCACGATTCCTAGATGAAAAGGCACATACTAACATCCAGAAGTCTCTTCAAGTCGGTTTTGTTCATGGTTCGGAAGGTTCGGTTGTGCTTTTTTTACAGATCTTACTGATTCTACAAATCTTTTGTTGGAACCTCAGGTGCATGAATTCTCATTCTCTGGGGCTTTGCTTTGCTAAAGTGAGAACAATTCTAGCTGATCAGGTAGAACTGTAATACATGTAAGTGGATGAAAACATTTGGGTATGTACGAGGGTTGAATGAAAAGTAATGCCTCCGCCCTTGCTATTTGGGTTTGGATGGGAATATTTTAATAAATCAAACACAGAAATAATCCTTAGAATGTGCTCTTTAACTACCACTATACCCTTTTCCACACAATCACCAGACAATTGGATACATTTCTGCCAACGATGAACAAGTTTTGTGAAGCTGTCATGGAAGAAGTCGAGGCTCTGTTTCCGCAACCAGCGTCTCACAGTTCTCTCAACGTCTTTGTCAGAAGCATAATGATGTCCCTGCAGATCTTCTTTCATTATCAGGAAAAGATGGAAGTTAGACTGCTAAATCTGGACTGTATGGAGGCTGTCGTATGGTGGTGAGATCCAGTCTCTGAAGATTCAAGTCTGTGCGCTTTCATTTCAGGGTACCCATTGTGCACAGATCTTCTGATAGCCAAGCAAAGCAATAATGTGACCCACGTGTTCTCGTAAAATGCCGATTATGCTTGAAATTTCTCTCTGAGTGATACGACGATCGTCCTGAATCAATCTGTCAACCTTTTGCTTGTGAAACTCAGTGGTTGCTGTCACAGGGCGTCCAACTCTTTGTTTGTCAAGCAAGTCAGATGTTCCCATCTCAACATCTTTAAACTTACTCGCCCAACGAAGCACAGTACTCACATCAACACAATCACCATAAACAGCTTGCATTCTCTGATGAATCTCCTTTGGGGTGACACCTTCTGCTGTCAAGAATTCAATGACTGCATTGCTTAAGTCGCATTGACCAACCGTTGGAGGCATTACTTTTCACTTTAACAACACAACTGTTCAATGCTAAGGCTTCCCACCAAAATGGAACTGTAGAGGAGAGTCTACTGAACAAGCCAGTACCTGTTGCATACCAGTACTGCCATCTGTTGAGGAGTTACAAAGGTCGAGGCATTACTTTTCATTCAACCTTCGTACGCAAACATAAAAAGAAATCTCTCTCCTTTTGCCAGAACCAAGGTTCGGAATAATCGCTGGAGTTTTGATGAAGAGAAAGGAAAAGAAACACCAAAAGGGAGGAGGAACTGTCTTGGAGATGTTGCGAGCCAAGAGAATTATTTCTTATATTGTGGGTGCCCGGTTCCTTTTTTCACTGGTTGACTCAGATTTAATTCACTTCCCGAGGAGATGATGGGCAATTTATTTTCCATATGGTAGCGAATGAGATGACTCACACTCTCAAATACATGGTCTTTGGTTCTGACCTGGCAAAAGCAAAGAAAGGAACAGGTCATTCTTAGCTGAAAACTGAAAATTGTCTTCTCTAATTCCCAGATTCTCAGATTCCCAGATTAGTTTAGTGTTTACACCAAGGGTCCTCAAACTAAGGCCCGGGGAGCCAAATACAGACCTCCAAGGTCATTTACCCAGCCCTGACTCAGGGTCAACCTAAGTCTGAAACTTTTTGAAAGCACACAACAACAACAACAACAACAAAAACAACAACAACAACAACACCGGGATTGTGGCACAGCTGCATTAAGATCACTCTGACCAAAAGGTCATGAGTTCGAAGCCAGCCGGGTTGGAGTGGGTTTCCAACCAATTGTGTGTAGCCTGTTGTCGACCTTTGCAACCCGAAAGACAGTTGCATCTGTCAAGTAGGAAAATTAGGTACCACCTTAAAGTGTGGGGAGGCTAAATTAACTGATTTATGAGGCCATAAAGAAGACTCCAGCAAAAGCATTCCAGCGAGGAAGCATGCGGGGAATGCGGAAGTGCTTCATCAGCATCGCAGATGGACGATGAAAGCGACAGCTCCCCTGGCGGCCAGAAAAAGTTAAATAGCCTCTGTGTATGTCTGTATATGTTTGTATGTCAAAAATTGGCATTGAATGTTTGCCATATATGTGTACACTAGGCCTGTGCGGTTTCGTTCGTTAATTCGTTAATTAGTTAAATAGCCTCTGTGTATGTCTGTATATGTTGTATGTTAAATTGGCATTGAATGTTTGCCATATATGTGTACACTGTAATCCGCCCTGAGTCCCCTGCGGGGTGAGAAGGGCGGAATATAAAAGCTGTAAATAAATAAATAAATAAATAAATAAACTCCAATCCCATTTCATCAGCCAAAAGCAGGACCCCCCGGTGGCGCAGTAGGTTAAACCCCTGTGCCGGCAGGACTGAAGACCCACAGGTTGCAGGTTCGAATCCGGGGAGAGGCGGATGAGCTCCCTCTATCAGCTCCAGCTCTTCATGCTTTTAGCCTCCCACAAGGATGATAAAAACATCAAATCATCCAGGCATCCCCTGTGCAACATCCTTGCAGATGGCCAATTCTCTCACACCAGAAGCGACTTGCAGTTTCTCAAGTCGCTCCTGACACAACAAAAAAAAAAAAAAGCCAAAAGCAGGCCCACACTTCCCATTGAAATACTAATAAGTTTATATTTGTTAAAATTGTTCTTAATTTTTTTGTATTATTTTGAAGTGTCTTTTGCATTACAAATAAGATATGTGCAGTGTGCATAACAATTCATTCATGTTTCTTTTTTTCAAATTATAATCCGGCCCTCCAGCAGTTTGAGGGACTGTGACCTGGCCCTCTGTTGAAAAAGTTTGAGGACTCAGGGACTAGACGTACTGCATTGGGAGGGGAATTGAGTAACCCTTCAGATCAGGGGATCCCAAACTGTGCTCCGCGGAGCCCTTGAGGCTGTTTTTCAGTGGTTCTCAACCTTCCTAATGCCGCGACCCCTTAATACACTTCCTCATGTTGTGGTGACCCCCAACTATAAAATTATTTTCGTTGCTACTTCATAACTGTAATTTTGCTACTGTTATGAATCATAATGCAAATATCCATTTTCAGCGTTGCCTCTGAAAAATCCTGCAAATCTCTTGGGAAGACAAGCAGACAAATGTCAGCGTGCTGGAAGAAGCAAAGACCACCTTGATGTTTTGGGATATAGGGCTGTGTGGAAGGGTCTTTCAAACGGATTGGGAGAAACCAGCCTTCCCTGGTACGACGTGTCAAAGTGCAGTATTTTCTAAACATAAGAAACATAGCAATCAAATGTGATGGGGTAAGTATGCATCCCATCTGACAGTAGTATACAATCAGTGATTTAAAAATATGGGATACATATTGATTAAAACAGAGTATGTGATAAGGTCCAAGGCACAATTCAAAGTGCTGGTTTTGACCTACAAAACCCTATATGGCTCCGGCCCAGCGTACCTGTCCGAACGTATCTCCTTCTACGTCCCACCTCGGAGTTTAAGATCTTCTGGGGAGGCCCTGCTCTCGGCCCCACCTTTATCATAAGTGAGACTGGTGGGGACGAGGGACAGGACCTTCTCGGTGGTGGCCCCTCGCCTGTGGAATTCACTCCCCGGGGAAATTAGGTCATCAACATCCCTCCTCTCTTTCGGAAGGAAGTTAAAAAAATGGTTGTGGGACCAGGCTTTCGAGCAATCTGGCGGTTCGATAAGGACAATGATGACCAGAATTGAGAGTACTTGACAATGTGGAATGAATTTACGGACTCTGAGATGGCGAACGCTGAGCATTAGATTTTTTAATTGATTTTAACGTATGGACTGACTGTCTTAATGAGACTGGTGGGGACGAGGGACAGGGCCTTCTCGGTGGTGGCCCCTCGCCTGTGGAATTCACTCCCCGGGGAAATTAGGTCATCAACATCCCTCCTCTCTTTCGGAAGGAAGTTAAAAACCTGGATATGGGACCAGGCCTTTGGGTAAGCTGGCGGATAAAGGACAATGATGACCAGAGTAGGAAAGGACTATGATAATGCTGGATGGACTTTGGATTTATGAATTGGCGAACGTTGACCATAAGATGATTTTATTGCTGCTATTGTATTAATTTGATTGTTTTTACTAGTTATAATTGTTGTTGTTATATTGTATTTTGTGAACTGTTAGGCATCAAATTGTGCCTTTTGTAAGCCGCCCTGAGTCCCCCCTAGGGAGTTGAGAAGGGCGGGGTAGAAGCACTCCAAATAAATAAATAAGTAAGGCATTGTGTAGTACAGTGGTTCTCAACCTGGGGGTCGGGACCCCTGGAGGGGTCATGAGGGAATATCAGAGGGGGTCACTAAAGACCACCAGAAAACACAGTATTTTCTGTTGATCATGGGGGTTCTATGTGGGAAGTTTTGTCCAATTCTGTCTTTGGTGGGTTCAGAATGCTCTTTGATTGTAGGTGAGCTATAAATCCCAGCAACTACAAAATATCAAGATCTATTTTCCCCAAACTCCACCAGTGTTCACATTTGGGCATATTGAGTATTTGTGCCAAGTTTAGTCCAGATTCATCATTGTTTGAGTGCACAGCGCTCTCTTGATGCAGGCGAACTACAACTCCAAAATTCAAGGTCAATGCCCACCAAACCCTTCCAGTATTTTCTGTTGGTCATGGGAGTTCTGTGTGCCAAGTTTGGTTCAATTCCATCATTGGTGGAGTTCAGAATGCTCTTTGATTGTAGGTGAACTATAAATCCCAGCAACTACACCTCCCAAATGACAAATTCAATTTTTTCCCCCAACCCCACCAGTATTCCAATTTGAGCGTTCGGGTAATGGTGCCAAATTTGGTCCAGTGAATGAGAATTCATCCTCATTACATTACGATTCATAACAGGAGCAAAATGACAGTTATGAAGTAGGAAGGAAAATAATTTTATGGTTGGGGGTCACCACAATATGCGGAATTGTGTTAAGGGGTCACAACATGAGGAAGGTTGAGAACCACTGGTGTAGTAGTTCCCAGCCAACTTCACACTGTTTATTGTTCCTACCTTGCCTTCTGGATCCACAAGCAACAGATGCTTTGCTTGCCCTCCTTGCAACCCACTCAGCACATACTGGCCCGGTGAGCTTGTACTTTCCCGTATCAAGAAATCCCCGTCGCAGACCAAGAGGCTCTCTGCTGCTTTTCTGGTTAACTTTCCGTGGTAGCATTCTTCATCCTGTAGCTGTTCTTTCACAGATGTCACACCTCCAGGACCTGATGCGTTGCTGGAAGGGATCTGCTCAACGGCTTCTGTTGATTCTGGAAAACATAATATGGATAGGGTTGCACAACATCGACTCCCAAAATACTGCTGCTGATATACATGATATAGACATTTTCCAAACCAGGGTTCTTTATTCCAGCTTTTAAAAAAAATTATCGTATCAGTATCAACCAGACAATTGTATTACATTTTTAACCAATTTTTAACAAACAGACAAAACAGAGTTTGCAAGCTTGGCAGTTGATTAAATGTCCTTTAATCAGTATCTGGCCACTTGGAGTGCCTCTGGTGTTGCTGCAAGAAGGTCCTCCATTGTGCATTGTGCTCAGGTTGCATTGCAGCAAGTGGTCCGTGGTTTGCTCTTCTCCACACTGGCATGTCATGGATTCCACTTTCTAGCCCCATTTTTTGAGGTTGGCTCTGCATCTCGTGGTGCCAGAGTGCAGTCTGTTCAGCGCCTTCCAAGTTGCCCAGTCTTCTGTGTGCCCAGGGGGGAGTCTCTCATTTGGTATCAGCCATTGGTTGAGGTTCTGGGTTTGAGCCTGCCACTTTTGGACTCTCGCTTGCTGAGGTGTTCTAGCGAGTGTCTCTGTAGATCTTAGAAAACTATTTCTTGATTTAAGTCGTTGACATGCTGGCTGATACCCAAACAGGGGATGAGGTGGAGATGTCTCTGCCTTGGTCCTTTCACTATTGGCTGCTACTTCCCGGCGGATGTCAGGTGGTGCAATACCGGCTTAGCAGTGTAATTTCTCCAGTGGTGTAGGGCGCAGACACCCCGTGATAATGCGGCATGTCTCATTAAGAGCCACATCCACTGTTTTAGCGTGGTGAGATGTGTTCCACACTGGGCATGCATACTCAGCAGCAGAGTAGCATAGCGCAAGGGCAGATGTCTTCACTGTGTCTGGTTGTGATCCCCAGGTTGTGCCAGTCAGCTTTCGTATGATATTGTTTCTGGCACTCACTTTTTGCTTGATGTTCAGGCAGTGCTTCTTGTAGGTCAGAGCACAGTCCGGGGTGACTCCCAGGTATTTGGGTGCGCTGCAATGCTCCAGTGGGGTTCCTTCCCTGGTGATCCTCAGAGCTCGGGATGCTTCTCTGTTCTTGAGATGAAAGGCACATGTCTGTGTTTTAGATGGATTAGGGATCAGCTGGTTTTCCCTGTAATAGGCAGTAAGAGCACCTAGAGCTTCGGAGAGCTTCTTTTCAACCATCTCAAAGCTCCCTGCTTGAGCGTAATGGCACGATCATCAGCATAGATGAAACTCTCTGTCCCTTCTGGCAGTGGCTGGTCATTTGTGGAGATGTTGAACATGGATGGAGCAAGCACGCTCCCCTGAGGCAGGCCGTTCTTCTGTTTCCGCCATCTGCTTCTCTGGCCCTGGAACTCAACAAAAAAGCTCCTGTTTTGTAGCAGGTTTCCTATGAGGCGGGTGAGGTGGTAGTCCTTTGTGATATTATACGTTTTTCTCAGGAGGAGGCGGTGGTTCACAGTATCATAAGCTGCTGACAGGTCCAGAAGCAACCAGAAGCTACTATTCCAGCTGATGGCGATGATTCAATAGAGTTAACAAAATAATTAATGACTGAAGGAGGCATTACTAACTAGGATATACATCAAATCTGCAAAGCAATAGGCTGTGTTTATGTCCCTTAACTCATCTCGATTAAATGAGCTTGAATATGTATTCTTGCTCAAAAAGATACGTCATCCCGGAACAGAACAAGATACACCTATCTCAGCATGCTGTGTAAATAGGCCATCAGGTCAGTAAAAATGGAAGGGATATCACAGTACATTTATTTCAGTGCTATTCAAGGGAATGTCCCTCAAACAGGTGAGCCACTGGCAGGGCCGGCCCTAGGTAATTTTCAAGTGTGAGCAAACAGTATTTTGGCATACCCCCCCCCCTCCCAATCTATTTTATATTATACTAACTGTCCCCTGCCACGCATTGCTGTGGCCCAGTCTGTTCATCTGGAAAATAAAGTCATGAGAAAGTGTTGGTTTGTAATATGTGTGATTTCTTTAAGCTTGTGGTTAAACAGTATTTCTTGTTGTTTCTGGGTCAGTGTTGATGTGGAGAGTGCCTGGTTTGCCCATCCTGGAACATGTAACATATCATTGTCCTTCTTTAAGGGTCCCTTTCAAATCTATGATACTATATCTATGTGTGTGTGAATCATATCTATCTCTATCTATCTATCTATCTATCTATCTATCTATCTATCTATCTATCTATCTATCTCTCTCTCTCTATGGCTGGATGGCTCTTTGTCAGGAGGACTTTGATTACATTTTCTTGCCCTGATGAAGGGAGTTGGATTGGATGGCCTTAAGTATTTTCTGTTGGTCATGGGGGTGCTGTGTGGGAAGTTTGTCCCAATTCTGTCGTTTGTGGGGTTCAGAATGCCCTTTGATTGTAGGTGAACTATGAATCCCAGTGACTACAACTCCCAAATGTCAAGGTCTATTTCCCCCAAACTCCATCTGTGTTCATATTTGGGTGTATTGAGTGCTTGTGCCAAGTTTGGTCCAGATCCATCATTGTTTGAGTCCACAGTGCTCTCTGGATGTAGGTGAACTACAACTCCAAAACTCAAGGTCAATGCCCACCAAACCCTTCCAGTATTTTCTGTTGGTCATGGGGGTTTTGTGTGCCAAGCCATCGTTGGTGGAGTTCAGAATGCTCTTTTATTGTAGGTGAAGTATAAATCCCAGCATCTACAACTCCCAAATGACAAAATCATAATTTTTTGAGCGATGGTCACTCCTTGTGTTATGAGACATTTTGTTGCCAAATTTGGTGTGATTTCGTTCATTGGTTCTTTTGTTTTTAAGGTACTCATTATGCACAGAGCATTTATATATATAAATACATCTATATTATATAGATGTAATATCACTAATAATATTACAGTATAATGATATAGTACAGTGGTTATCAACCTTCCTAATGCCGCGACCCCTTAGTACAGGTCCTCATGCTGTGGTGACCCCCAACCATAACATTATTTTCGTTGTTACTTCATAACTGTAATTTTGCTACTGTTATGAATGGTAATGTAAATATCTGATATGCAGGATGTATTTTCAGTCACTGGACCAAATTTGGCACAAATATCCGATACGCCCAAAATTTGAATACTGGTGGGTTTGGGAGTGATTGATTTTGTCATTTGGTAATGCTGAAGTTGCTGGGATTTATAGTTCACCTTAAATCAAAGAGTCTTCTGAACTCCATCAATGATGGAATTGAATCAAACATGGCACACAGAATTCCCATGACCAAGAGAAAATATGGGAAGGTCTGGTGGACATTGACCTTGAGTTTTTGGAGTTGTAGTTCACCTATATCCAGACTGTGGACTCAAGCAATGATGGATCTGGATCAAACTTGGCACAAATACTCAATATGCCCAAATGTGAACACTGGTAGAGTTTGGAGAAAATAGACCTTGCCATTTGGGAGTTGTAGTTGTTGGGATTTATAGTTCACCCACAATGAAATAGCATTCTGAACCCCACCAATGATAGAATTGGACCAAACTTTCCACACAGAACCCCCATGACCAACAGAAAATACTGTATTTTCTGATGGTCTTTGGTGACTCCTCTGACACCCCCTCGCGACCCCTACAGGGGTCCCGACCCCCAGGTTGAGAAACACTGATATAGTACAATATAGTAATATATAATACTAATATTGTGCTATGGTATTTACATATTACTTGTATTTACATATTACTTGTAAGCCACTCTTGAGTCCCCTTCGGGGTGAGAAGGGCAGCATATAAATGTCATAAATAAGTAAATAAATATATCCCAGCTCACACTCACCCATTTCAATCTGAACTGAAATTGGTCTTGGATTTTCTCTTCCATGTATACATGAACCTATCAATCAGCAGTCTTTCTTGTTTTTCAGTCAATTTTACCGCCCACCTTTCAAAAGCCCTTAGAACAGTGTTTCTCAACCTGGGGGTCGGGACCCCTGAGGGGGTCGCGAAGGGGTGTCAGAGGGGTAACCAAAGACCTCAGAAAATACAGTATTTTCTGTTGGTCATGGGGGTTCTGTGTGGGAAGTTTGGACCAATTCTATCATTGGTGGGGTTCAGAACGCTCCTTGATTGTAGGTGAACTATAAATCCCAGTATCTACAACTCCCAAATGTCAAAGTCTATTTTCCCCAAACCCCATCAGTGTTCACATTTGGGCATATTGAGTATCCATGCCAAGTTTGGTCCAGATCCATCATTGTTTGAGTCCACAGTGCTCTCTGGATGTAGGCGAACTACAACTCCCAAACTCAAGGTCAATGCCCACCAAACTTCCAGTATTTTCTGTTGATCATGGGAGTTCTCTGTGCCAACTTTGGTTCAATTCCATTGTTGGTGGGGTTCAGAATGCTCTTTGTTTACATGTTAACTATAAATCCCAGCAACTACAACTCCCAAATGACAAATCAATTTCCCCGCCAACCCCACCAGTATTCAAATTTGGGCATACCGGGTATTTGTGCCAAATTTGCTCCAGTGAATGAAAATACATCCTGCAGATCATTATTTACATGGCGATTCATAATGTTAGGGTTATGGTTGGGGGTCACCACAAGGTGAGGAACTGTATTAAGGGGTCGCAGCATTAGGAAGGTTGAGAACTACTGCCTTAGAACTACTGGATATTTGAATATGTGGAAATCTTGCTCATAAACACACTGGACTTTTTAAAAGTCGATACCTTGGTTTCCAATGGTCTTTGGGACCCTTTCTTTTATAAGCTTTGCCCACTTTGATCTCACAAAGCAGGTAAATCACGACAACAGTGGAACTTCTCACATGTATTATTCCTCTTTTGTCGTTCTCCCAGTGGGAAGACGGTTGGAAAGTAGTTCTTTTACTAAAGGGTGTTATTAATGGATTATGTGTGATTATAAAAGAAACACTTTCCGAACAGCCTCCCACTGGGAGAACAACAGAAGAGGAACAACATCATTTAATAAGTCTCAGCCGGAGACACTATTATCCTGCTGTAATTGTGATTTACCTGCCTTGTGCAATACGCTCCTAAGTAGTGAATACAGAACAGTTACAAATGAGTAAATCTCGGTAGCTGCTCCATAAAAAGGATTGCTGTTTAGGTCATGATTGTGACACTACTGCCACAATAGTCACTTTTGCAACCTGCTTTACTAGGCATCAACTGCATGACGGAAACGAGATCCATTTTGCCAGTGATGCAGCATGGCCAAACTATGTTTTGGATCAAGTTTGGAGAGGATCAGAAAATATTACTTAAACAGCAGATAGAAATTAGTTAAGCATATTAACTAATTAATATGTGTTGTGTCCAATTCTGGGCATTTATTTATTTATTTGCAGCATTTATATTCCGCCCTTCTCACCCCGCAGGGGACTCAGGGCGGATTACAGTGTACACATATATGGCAAACATTCAATGCCAATTTTGACATACAACATATACAGACATAGCCAGAGGCTGTTTAACTTTTTCTGGCCGCCAGGGGAGCTGTCGCTTTCATCGTCCATCTGCAACACTGATGAAGTACTTCTGCATTCCCCGCATGCTTTTTGCTGGAGTCTTTTTTATGGCCTCATAAATTAGTTAATTTAGCCTCCCCACACTTTAAGGTGGTACCTTATTTTCCTACTTCACAGATGCAACTGTCTTTCAGGTTGCAAAGCTCAACAACATGCTACACAATTGGTTGGAAACCCACTCCAACCCAGGATGGCTTCAAACTCATGACCTTTTGGTCAGAGTGATCTTAATGCAGCTGACACTCAGCCAGCTGCGCCACAATCCCGGTGGGATCACAAGCCGGGAAAAGTTACAGAGAATGAGTACCATGAGAATTTTTTTGGGGGGGGGGCTGAGTTTTTTGGGGGGGGGGCTGAGTCTCAGTGAAAGAGGGTCTACCCTAGCAAACCTTTTGTATCGTTACCCCAATACCCCCATGCATATGGGATATATTGAGCATGGTGATCAGATCATGATATGAATAAACATAACAGTTTAAATAATGTACCAGTAAGGCCTTTTCGCGGACCACCATGAGAATTTGGGGGGGGGGCTGAAGCCCCCCCCCCCCCGGCCCCTGGCTACATGCCTGCTAAGGTGAATGGTTCTGGCCCAGACTACCTGTCCGAACGTATCTCCTGCCACAAACCATCATGAAGTTTAAGATCTTCAGGAGAGGTCAACACGGTTGATGGGGATGAGAGACAGGGCCTTCTCAGCAGTGGCCCCCCGCCTATGGAACGCCCTCCCTAGAGATATCAGATTGGCCACCTCCCTCTTGTCTTTTGTGATGGGCAAAGGCAGCCCTAGGTAATTTTCAACGGTAAGCAAACCCCCCCAACCAAACACTGATGTATATTTTCTGTTCGTCGTTGGAGAACTGTGTGCCAAGTTTGGTTCGATTCCATCATTGGTGGAGTTCAGAATGCTCTTTGATTTAGGTGAACTATACATCCCAGTAACTACAACTCACATATGTCAAGGTCTATTTTCCCCCAAGAGCGCCTCAAGAGCGCCCCTGGGCAAAATCAACTATACTGCAAATGCTTTCTTTGCGTAATGGGTTGAGCCGCCCCTGGTGATGGGAATTCCCCATTGTCCACTTTGTAAAGATACCAATAATGTTGTTCTGGAGGCAGGAGCCAAGATGAACAGCATAGGACCCTGATAGTGAACCTATGACACGCGTGTCAGCACTGACACACATGGCTATTTTTGATGACACGCAGACACATGTGGCCACATATAGAGAAATACACCTTATAAGAGCCAATCTAATTCCATCCTTAAATTTGTAAAAGGCTCTACAAATTTAATATCTGCATGTTTGAGCATTGTTCACTCCATAACTCAGCATGGATTATACATTTTTCTTATTTAAACTATAAATATTGCAAAATTATGGGTTTTTTTTTCTCAAAGTGACACTCCACCCAAGTTATGCTCAGGTTTTTGGCAAATTTTGACACACCAAGCTCAAAAGGTTGCCCATCACTGGCATAGGATCTTTTACTCTACCCTAACCTTCAGAATCGAGGAGGAAGGAATGGTAATTTATATGTTTTTTTTAACAATGTGAATTCAATAGAATTACCCAAATGATAAAATCAACCCCCCCCCCCAACCCCACAAATATTCAAATTTGGGCGTATGGGGCATTTGTGACAAATTTGGTCCAGTGAATGAAAATATATCCTTAATATCAGATATTGATATTACGATTCATAACTGTAGCAAAATTACAATTATGAAGTAGCAATGAAAATGATTTTACAGTTGGGGGTCACTGCAACATGAAGAACTGCGTTAAGGGGTCACGGCATTAGGAAGGTTGAGAACCATTGCTCTGGACTCTTGTGTGGTGATGTGGTCATAGGTGTTTCGAGGGCTGGGGTGCAACAGTAAAATCATTTGCTTAATTTCCAAATGGGGCATTGCAAAACTTAATGAAAAAACAATGATCCCTATGCTTTGCTTATTGCGTGGCATGAAGTAGTAGGTTGACGATATTGAATATAAGCCATTATTACCAAGCTCAGCACTGAACGTCTTAAGTCTACCAACACGGATAGGACCTTGCAAGACTTTCCACTCCCCTCCCATTACTTTGCAAATCTTCCCATGTCTTCCAAATCCCATGGAGTATATTTTGAGGGACCCAAACGTACCTGAGCGATGAACAGGACTTCTGCAGGCGCGTAATGGTGGGGGGCTTCGGGCAGAACAAGGAGTAGCTTGTACGTTCTGAGTATTGATATACTGGGGATCATCAAAAAGATCGAGTTTGCTTGTGTTGGTCAGCAACGGAGCATCTTTCTTCCCTGCCTGTGCTTTTTCTCTGCAACGATCTGCAACAGAAAGTTAATTTGTTGTCAAAGGCTTTCATGGCTAGAGTCACTGGGTCGCTGTGAGTTTTTCGGGCTGTATGGCCATGTTCCAGAAGCATTCTCTCCTGACATTTCACCCACATCTATGGCAGGCATCCTCAGAGGTTGTGAGGTCTGTTGCAAACTAGGCAAGTGAGGTTTATATATCTGTGGAATGTCCAAGGTGGGAGAAAGAACATTTTGAGGCAAGTGTGAATGTTGCAATTGGCCACATGGATTAGAACTGAATGCCCTTGCAGCTTCAAAGCCTGGCTGCTTCCTGCCTGGGGGAAAACCTTGGTTGAAAGGTGTTAGCTGGGCCTGATTGTTTTCTGTCTGGAATTCCCCTTTTTGTGGGTTTTTTTTTTTAGTGTTGCTCTTTGTTTACTGTCCTGAATTTAGAGGTTTTTTAATGCTGGGTTGTTGTAGGTTTTCCAGGCTATATGGCCATGTTCTAGAAGCATTCTCTCCTGACGTTTCGCCTCACAACCTCTGAAGATGCTTGCCATAGATGCAGGCGAAATGTCGGGAGATAATGCCTCTAGAACATGGCCATATAGTCCTGAAACATCTACAACAACCCAGTGATTCCAGCCATGAAAGCCTTTGACAATAATAATAATAATAATAATAATAATAATAATAATAATAATAATACCTTTATTTATACCCCACTACCATCTCCCGAAGGACTTGGTGCGGCTTACAAGAGGCTGAGCCCAAATACATCAGTAAAACACAACAACAACAATACTATAAAAAAAACCTCATAAACAAAGCAAAAAACATTTACAATAACACCACGGCACATTTTTTTAATACATTTTTAATACTGTTACCCAGATTTTTAATACTGGCAGCCAGACTTTGAAGTTGCAAGGCCATTCAATGGTAATCAAGGTGGACAATTGCACATACATTGTATGTGAAATTTAAAACTAACTTTTAACTTTACTAGATAATTATGTTTTGAGTGCATTGGCGTGTTGCTGATGCAAAGTAGCGTCATCGCAAGTAAAAGCAAGCAGTAGATTAGAACCAAGTAGATGAGAATCAAGGGCTCATCATCTCTCTTTTCCTGTATTCACTAACATGGTTTCTTTGTAAACAAAACCAAATCTGATTCGACGCATCCCGTCAACAAGAGAATAAAATGCAAACGAATTTGTAAGGACAACAAGTTACTTACCTGCTAACTTGCAATCTTCTGGACAGTTTTCGTAAATATTCATGGATTTGGGGCTCTCCGTCTGAAAGGAGGAGAAAATTCATTCATTTATTTATTCACTTCATTTATATACCGCTTTTCTCAGCCCTTGGGTGACTCAAAATTCAATGCTCAACATCATAAAAAGAGTTAAAAACAATGATATAATAAACAATCAGTTAAACATAACTATAACATCTCATTAGCGTCTCATCGGTAGAATCAAGATCCAATCTCATAATCCGTTGTTCCATGTTCCTATATTCAATACACTAGTATTGTCATTCTAGTCCAGTGTTTCTCAACCTGGGGGTCGGGACCCCTGGGGGGGTCGTGAGGGGGTGTCAGAGGGGTCGCTAAAGACCATCATAAAACACAGTATTTTCTATTAGTCATGGGGATTTTGTGTGGAAAGTTTGGCCCAATTCTATCATTGGTGGGGTTCAGAATGCTCTTTGATTGTAGGTGAACTATAAATCCCAGCAAATACAACTCCCAAATGTCAAGGTCTCTTTCCCCCTAACTCCACAAGTGTTCACATTTGGACATATTGAGTATCTGTGCCAAGTTTGGTCCATATCCATCATTGTCTGAGTGCACAGTGCTCTCTGGATATAGGTGAACTACAACTCCAAAACTCAAGGACCCAGCAAACCTTTCCAGTATTTTCTGTTGGTCATGGAAGTTTTGTGTGCCAAGTTTGGTTTAATTCCATTGTTGGTAGAATTCAGAATGCTCTTTGATTGAACTATAAATCCAAGCAACTACAACTCCCAAATGACAAAATCAATCCCCCTCCCAACCTCAGCAGTATTTAAATTTGGACGTACGGAGTATTTGTGCCAAATTTGGTCCAATGAATGAAAATACATCCTGCATATTGGATATTTACAATTCATAACAGCAGCAAAATTACAGTTATGAAGTAGCAACTAAAATAATTTTATGATTGGGGGGTCACCACAACATGAGGAACTGTATTAAGGGGTCACGGCATTAGAAAGGTTGAGAACCACTGTTCTAGTCCGTGTCCTTTAAACTCTACAAAGGACTGGTTCCAAAGCCATGATTTTAATTTCTTTCTGAAAGCCAGGAGGGAGGGAGCAGATCTTACCTCATTTGGGAATGTGTTCCATAGGTGAGGGGCCACCGCTGAGAAGGCCCTGTCTCTCGTCCCCGCCAGACGCATTTGCACAATTGACTGGAGTGAGAGCAGGGCCTCCCCGGATGATTTTAGATTACGAGATGGGACGTAGGGGTGGATGCATTCGGACAAGTAAGCTGGGCCAGAACCGTAATAAATAATCCCACAGGCCGTTGCTTACAACCTCCAGCAGACCAAAGCTATGCTCTTAACTTGTCTTTGAAGCTCATTTGGCTCAAAAGTTCTGGGCTATCAAAAAAGACGCGAAGTGAATACAGGTATTTAATAAACTACTCATCACCTAACCTCTTCATCCTTGACTTAGCCCAATGTTTCCCAACCTTCATAATGCTGCGACCCCTTAATACAGTGGTTCTTGGAGTAGACCACGCTCGATCACTTTCGATGTTATTCTTAAAATCTTAATAAAAACTATTATAAAAAAATACAAGTGGTTCTCAACCTGTGGGTCCCCAGGTGTTTTGGCCTACAACTCCCAGGAATCCCAGTCAGTTTACCAGCTGTTAGGATTTCTGGGAGTTGAAGTCCAAAAACATCTGGGGACCCCAGGTTGAGAACCACTGCCTTAATACAAATCCTCATGTTGTGGTGACACCTAACCATAACATTATTTTCATTGCTAATTCATAACTGTAATTTTGCTACTGTTATGTAAATATCTGATATGCAGGATGTATTTTCATTCACTGGACCAAATTTGGCACAAAAAACCTATACGCCTAAATTTGAATACTGGTAGGGTTGAGTTTGATTGATTTTGTCATTTGGGAGTTGTACTTGCTGGGATTTATAATTCTCCTACAGTCAAACTTCACCAACAATGGAATTGAACCAAACTTGGAACACAGAACTCCCATGACCAACAGAAAATCCTAGAAGGGTTTGTGGACATTGCCCTTGAGTTTGTAGTTAACCTACATCTAGAAAACGAGCGGCGGCCAGGTTGTTAACTGGTGCCCCTTACAGGGAGAGATCAACCCTCCTGTTTAAGGAGCTCCACTGGCTGCCGTTCATTTTCTGGTCCCAATTCAAGGTGCAGGTGCTTACCTACAAAGCCCTAAACGGTTTGGGACCCGCCTACCTGCGTGACCGCATCACTGTGTACGAACCCACACGATCTCTTCGATCATCTGGAGAGGCCCTGCTCACGCTCTCATCTCCATCACAAGCCCGACTGGCAGGGACAAGGGACAGGGCCTTCTCGGTGGTGGCCCCTCGACTCTGGAACTCATTTCCCTGGGACATCAGACATGCTCCAACGTTGGCAGTCTTTAGGAGGAGCCTGAAAATGTGATTGTTCCAGTGTGCCTTCCCAGAATAAGGAAACTCCCAGCAATATATCCCTAAACGCACTTTAGTAGTGATCTAGGATTGTCTGCACACTCTAACCCTCTCAAAAATTTCTATCCTGTTTATATGTCACCTGGTCACGCCCAGCATTATTTTTTAAATTTTTAATTAGTACATTTGGCCCTGCTATTTTCTGTTTATGAGCTTTATTTATTGTTGTATTACTATTGCTATTGTTTTATTGTTGTATTGTTGTGTTTGGGCTCGGCCTCATGTAAACCGCACCGAGTCCCTTGGGGAGATGGTAGCGGGGTACAAATAAAGTTTAATAATAATAATAATAACACTGTGGACTCAAACAATGATGGATCTGGACCAAACTTGGCACAAATACTCAATATGCCTAAATGTGAACAATGGTGGATGTGCTGGTACAGCTGTACCAGGAGCTCCAACTTTATTTGCTTTGTATTAAATGTTTGCTTGCAGTCCTAGGTTTCAGGGGTTCTGCAGAAAGGTGGCTTCCTTTGGTTGCAGTCGTAGGGCAAGTCACCTGTCCATCATCGTTAAGTTTTGGTTCCGCCCCTTGCTCAGGGCAATTGGGAAGGGAAGGGAGCCATTTTTAGTTAGTCTCAGTAAGGAAAGCTAATATACAGGATGTGTACAAGCTTCTCCTGTACAAAAGCTTCAACCCTTAAGACTTTCCGGGGGAGAACAGTCTTAAGAGCATCCAAAGATCTCCAAAGATTTCCAGGGAAACAGCCCTAAAGACCAAAGAACTCCAGCTGGAGAATCTACTAACTTTACTGGTAGGTCCACTCGGCGTTCGAGATGCAATTCGACCCGGTAGCGGAGCCCACATCAGTAAGAATTAGATTACAGTCAGCCTGGGAGAAGTTAAAAAGGGGATTTTCCTTTAAAGTAAAGAATCAGTTATTGAAGACAATTGCCTGTCCTTCGTGGACAAAATTAGGAAGCCACCAGTTGCATAAAAGCCTGGAATCATTTGTTTAACTTTACTGAAGACAAGAGAAGTTTCTGTTTGGTTGTTCATTAATAAAGGACTTTGTTATACTTCACAAGCCATCTAAAGATCATTTGTGGTGGAAAACCTCTGAGGACTTCTCTTTGGGGGGCCCTGGCTTCCTGCTGTGCTCAAGTCACATGTCCTATTTAAAGGCAATTATTTACAGGCCCAGTGCGCAACAGAACAGTGGAGTTTGGGGAAAACAAAGGTTGACATTTGGGAGTTGGAGATCTCACCTCACTTTCAGTCCCTGTGAGAACTGGATTTTGGGGGAAAATTACTGGTTATGGAAACAAGAATTGGTGAGAAAGCATCAATGGAGACACCTTTTCCTCCTGATAATAACTCTTCCAGGAGTGAATTTCCCTTCTTAAGAATAGATATCCTCTCACTTCCTATTGTCTCACCCCTGTTCTTAACTATGAGTCATTTGTTAGTTGGATGTTTGTAATTGGGGGACTACCTGTATAGGATACTGCTCTCAAAGATCCATCCTTCCCCTTTGGAGTAGTCTGTTCCCATCATCAGTCAGGCTGATGATTTTTGCTAATATAAGCCAGGTTTAATGCAAAACACACTGCTAAGTCATGCTAATAATAAAGATACTTACTGGAGAGTATTGCTTTTCATAGTGCAAGGGACAATGAATCCTTTCTTCTGCGGGGATCTTCATTCTGGCATCTAACAATCCACCTGCAAGAGGCTCTTTGCCGGGGATTTCGTTATAGTATTCGTGACCCTCTTTTTCCTGAATATTCCATGTGGATCCGCCAAGGTTCACTACTTCTCTGCAATGTTAACCAAAATAATCATAATAAGTCATTAGATACACTGCTGGGATTGTGAACTGGACACAAGCAGAGCTGGATGATCTGGACAGAAAAACAAGAAAACTGATGACAATCCACTATGCATTACACCTGCGTAGTGATGTCGACAGACTTGACCTGACCAGAAAATCAGGAGGCAGAGAGAAGAGGGCTTCTGCAAGGGAAACAAACGGGAGAAGAAGAAGAGAAACGCGCACTGGCAGATGATGGGAAAGGAAGTCAAGAACCAACATTGAGGGAAGTCAATAGTAGTAAACTGCTTCAAGTACAAAAGACAAAGAGTGAATGAATACCATAAAAACACAATCCAGAGCAGAAGAGAAAACTGGCAAAAGAAGGCTCTCCATGGACAGTTCCTGGGAAAAATTGAGAGCCAAATTGACAAAGAAAAAACATGGCTGTGGCTCACAAATGGAACTTGGAAAAAGGGGACAAAGGAGGGACTGATTCTGGCAGCCCAAGAACAAGCCATTAGAACAAAGGCCATCAAAGCCAGAATTGAAAAGTCAACTACAGATCCCAAATGTAGACTCTGCAAGGAAGCAGATGAAACAATAGATCACATCCTCAGTTGCGGCAAGAAAATTGCGCAGACAGACTACAAGCAGAGGCACAACACCGTTGCTCAGATGATTCATTGCAACTTGTGCCACAAAGACCATCTGCCTGCGACAAAGAACTGGTGGGATCACAAGCCAGACAAAGTTACAGAGAATGAACACGTCAAGCTACTCTGGGACTTCCGGATTCAGGCATAATACTCCTGACCTCACAATTTTGTTAAAAAACAAAGTATGGATCGTTGATGTCGCAATCCCAGGTGACAGCAGGATT